TTCTAAATATTCTCATACGTAAGAACTAGAAACGGTTACAATATGATTTAGAGCAAATTCAAAAGTGTCAAAGCTTTCTTTTACTTGATTACTAGTAAAGAGTTTTCTTTTAACTTCAGCAGCCCAGTCTTCAGGGATTTTAAGTTTTGCTCAATATGATTTATGAGTTTTAATTGCACTTCAGTCAGCAAGATCATTATAATATTGGTGACATTTTTATTCAGAAGTGTAAAGGTATTTCTAATATCAGTATTTCTTGTCAAATTCTTTTTAATTAAGAGATCATCTACTATTCCATCTGCATTCTTGTTGAAATTTTTTATTAAGTCATTGAGTATCTTCCCAAGTAAATTTCTTTTATCTGACTTTAATTTCTTTTTGATATGCTTGTACTTTATTAATCTTCTTGACACTATATATAATTTGAAGTGATATTTCTTTAAAATCAACATATTTGAGATCTCTTTTGTGAGTTTTAACAGGAGTCCAAGTTTCTTCAGTGATAATTTTGATATTGTCATCCTCTTGAGTTTCTTGTTATCTAGATATTACTATATTTCAATCATCATATTGCTACATGAGAAATGTTTTCTTTTCCAAGTGCTATTCTTCGTATTTATCTTCTGAGTCTTCTTCTTCTGAATCATCTTCTTCAGAGCTTGATTCTTCAAATATAGGATTTCTCTATCACCATAAATAAATTTATTTGAACTTTTCCTTTCTTTCATTAAACTCAAAAGTGAGAAGTTCTTTCCTAATATCAATATTGACTTTGATTTTGTTTAAGAAATTCATTCCTATGATTACTAAGTATGTTTTGGCTTCAGTGATATCAACTTCAGTTGTAATTATGATTCCATCGATGTTGAGAAGTAAATCATCAATAGCTTCAAGTGATTGTTTTGAGATTCCATTAATATCAGACATTGATATATTTGAACTTTATTGGATCTTCAATCCCATATTTTTGATGAATGAATAAGTAGCAACACAGCCAGAGGCACCAGTATCAATAATTAAATATAATATAAAAGACTGGAATTTGTTTGCTCAATCTTCCTATTCAGCAGTTATACCTTAGCTCACAAAACTATGATTACAGAAAGTTATTGATGTGTATTAAACTATAATTATAAATATAATTATAATAGATTATGAATAAATCATCTAACTCAATTTTTAGTAGAACAGCTTGTTTCTAACTTTGAATTTAAATTAATATAATATAATAAAAATCACAGATTTCCAATCTGGTGGCAGAACTTTAAAAAGAATTAGAATATGGCTGCATTAACAGATGTTGAGTCTGAAATGGAGAACAAATATTATATTAATATTAATATTGATAATTGGATATGTTCATGTTCAGCATACCTAAATTAATTGATACCTTATTTGTAACAACTTGTTGCTAAAAAGAATGGCAAACGATTTCTAACTACCTTTCTGAGACGGAATGTCAGCATGATTATCCATTTCTTGCTTTTGGCAAGAATAAATTACCAGTTATTGCTCTGATAAACAATCCTTGGGCTAGATATGACATGATTACTGAAGAAATAATAGTTTATGAAGAAAGTTCTAGTTCAATTATTCAAAGTACCTTAATGCCTATCAAACACGACATGTTAGCAAAACGACGCGAACAACTTGCTATATATAAAAAAATCGAGACTTCACTAATGTTATACGAACGAGAAATAGATAATGAAAATTTCGTGAATAATTTTGAGATTTTGACAAAATCCATAATTAAGGCAGTAGATGAATGTCAGGAAGCTCTGCAAGCTCGTTGTCAGCAGGGTACTTGGGGTTAAAAAGTGGAAAGCTTGAATTTGGTTGCGTTAATTTGTATTAATAACTCTAATAATTAAAATAAAATATTTGATTTTCAAATAATGATGTACAAACGTTATTAGTTTTTTAATTAATGTTCGAAGCAAGGTTCGGATATTCGGGTGGTTCGGATTCACGTGATCCGAACATTTTTTTCCGTGGCTAGGGTATTAATATGTAGGAAGAGTATACGTCAACTACCGAGGTGCCGTAATGCCGTGACTTTTGCTGTGAGCAATGCCTGCACCATTATGTATTACTCTGAAACGATTTTTATTAAAAATGATTATGTAATGCAAGTTGTGTGTTGAGCAAATTACTGTGTTCGGTCATAACGCTAGGCCCCAAAACATCGCTAAATAGTTGTTTGTCATTGTAGTAGTCCTTGATAAGGTAAGGTCGTGACATTAGTGGATCTCTATTATATTTAAAGGTAAGTTTAAAGTACCTTACGTCCAAAAACAGGATAACGGACCATCTGTGATCGACAAAATCTTGGAACGCATAGGTGCTGCTGCAAGCCATAAAAATTTTCCGGCTAATTGAGTTGCTATTTTCTCGAAAGCTCAGTTGAAATTAATTTTCAAAAAAAAATTATACAAAACATCATATCAGGAAATCCAATAATAGCATTATTATTATTACTCACTTGGTTTATTGCCAAGATATGTATATTATCACGATTTCGAAGTCATTTTTCCAAGGAGTAATAAAGTCGTAAAAAAACTAGAATATGCAATTTACATGTTCAATAATGAGTCTGATGCATATTTTGCATGATCTGCCTGATTGGTCAGCTCATTACTACACCTCAGTTGGCTTGCAGCACTAGTAGTGACTACCCTTAGAAATATCATAATCCTAAAAGAAAAAACATAATGACTATTCTGTATTAAATGGTCTCAAATGAACTTTTCACTAAGACAAATAGTTATAAAAGCATAGTTGCTTTTAATCGGCAAATGAGGATAGACTAATTCGACCTCGAAATAAAGCAAAGAAATCAGAGTTTTAACACGTTTATCGCTTGAAATCGGCCAGGACAAATACGTCGTCCAATTCCGAAATTAAGATTTGAATTTTTCTTTATGTTGCCCTTTTGTCCATCGAGATTAAATTTATCCGGATTATGCCAAAGACTAGGATCTTGATGAATGGCAGGGATATTTATTCTGAATTGCGTCGAAGCTTGCCATTTACACCCAACAACATCAACCTCTTTGTTGTTGGTTCGAACAATTGTTAAGCCTTGCGGAGACATTCGAAGTGCTATAAATTAAATTTGATTAGTATCAAATAAAGCAAGCAAACGACATTTCAATTTAACAATTGTGTTTACTTTCATTAATCACTGCTTCGATGTATTTAAGTTGAGTAAGTTTGTCAAAGGAGATCTTGTTTCTGTCGCCGCAAAAAACTGTGCTTAGTTTTTCAAGTAATTTTTGTTTGACATTTGGATTGCATTCTATATATTCGATCATAAACCCAAAAGTATTTGAAGTCTAATAATAAATCAAGGAAGCTTAGTTAATTCACTTCTCAATAATCAAAAACATGTATACAAATTTCTTGATCAGATAGAGTTATAGACTTTTTGTTTTGCGATCCATTATTTTCCTTTAATGAATTAGTGAATGCAAAACATCTGCTTTTCGATTGGACGAATCTTCATTCTCAAATTCTTGTTTTCGCTTTTGAATAATTTTATTGTATGTCAATTGAACCTTTTTGGATATTTTTTAGTCTTCCACCAAAAAATCGATCTCATCAGCATTTCAGGACAAACAGAAAATAAAAAAGCCCTTTCACGCCGTTTACTAATTGTTGGTCGATATATTCGTCCATTTCATCAGTTTCTTTTGCAATCTGAATTTCGGCCCTGTTGTCAAGTTATTAAATATTTGGTCATAATGGATAGATTTCTCCTGTAGTGTACGAATCATGCTATCAAAAAATAGATGTAAAGCTCATTCTTTGATATAAACGACACGCTCAGTGCTGAGCTCTTTTCACTACCCTTGTATCTCTCCGAAACATTCCAAACCAATATCAAACAGCGCGTGTTGGTAACTTTCGCTTGAGATAGTTTGCTCGAATATTTTTCGATAAGATATCCAGCTATCGTGGTTATCGTTCAATAAAATAAATCTGATTGTTTCCGCGAATTCTCGAAAAATTTTAGTGAGCTTCAATTGAGCGGTAAATGAACACTTGGTGCTTGGTTGTGCTAATTTTTCAATTTGATTGACATGGTTAAAGCAAATGTTACGATTGGGTACTGTTGCGTGCTACTATTTTAATCGGTCAAAGAGGGGTTTTTACGCAACTGGGATGAGAGCTAGACTGAATTA